CCAGGAAGCCGGCTCCATGCTCCCTCGTCACCTCATGATGGAGCATGGAGCCCGCTTCCCAGCCCTTTAGGAAGCTGGGCGCCCGGCTTCCTGATTGGCCAGAAAGCTGGCTCCATGCTTTCTCGTCACCTGGTGACGAGAAGCATGGGGACGGCTTCCCGTCTAATCGGAAGCCAGGTGGTGAGTCATTACATGCCGCCCGCCTTCCTTAATGGGACTTCCGGTATTGGCATTCGGTATCGGCGAGTACCGAAAAAAATATCGGTACTCATACTCGATACTGAAATAACGGTATCGGTGCATCCCTAGTTAGTTACTGTTTTCAAAGACCACTAATTACTTTGATTAATTTGAGAGATCTAAAACACGTCCACGTAGATCAGAGTTTACAAACAATGTTCTAGATCAGGAGTGGATGTAGAAATTGAAGCACCACACCAATTAAAATAATCCAGGTACAACTTTATTCCAGTAGGGTCAGGGGACAATCAAGTAAGATAAAAATGTTTTGGGGATCCAAACAGCTGCTGAAGAGCCATAAGTTTCCCATCACAGCTCAATACAAATGTTAAGCTGCAGATATTTTAGTCCTCATACATGATTTCTCTCCCCAAGCCCTGATTCAATTTCTATATGTACCATGTTCACTGTTAAGCCGAAGATACTGTGGAGACCCTTAGACCAGTGATGTCTGCCTATCCATTAGCCAGATTACAAACATTTACATCACTTAACCACTATTGGATGAAAAAAAAAGAATCGCACAGGTCTGGCGCTCTCTTTCCACTTCCAAATAGTTCCACTGGATCAGGGGTGGGCAACTCTGGCACTCCAGCTGTTGTGGAACTACAACCCCCATGGGGCATTCAAGGCTGAAAGTTACAGACATGTTGGGATTTGTAGTTAAAGCACAGCTGGAGAAATTGTTAAATTTTTGTGCATCTATAGTATAGCTCTATTAGTTAGCTTTATCATTTTGGAATGTGCATTTATCATTATTTTTTTTTCTTTGTTTGTTAGCATTTTGATTTTCATGCTTGCTCAGTAAATCATGTTAAATATCATCAGAATCTAATTTGATTAGCTAATGGACTCAACTCGAACATTCAAACAGGATTTGTAATCTCAACCATTTAAAAGTATGTGGTCAGATATTTTATTACGATCACAGGCTGAACTTGAATGCTCTCGAACAAACATTTTGTTTGTTAGATCCTGACCTTTAATGGTCAAAGACACTGGGGGGAATATGTCAAAACTGGAGCAGACATAATCTGGAGGAGCTGTGCATGGCAGCCAATCAGCTTCTCTCTTCAGTTTTTTCAGTTAAGATTTGAAAATGAAAGAGAGAAGCTGTTTGGTTGCCATGGGCAACTGCTCCAGTTTTTGTCTGCTCCAGTTTTGATCAATTCAAGATTTGCTGTAGGTTCATGGTAAATAGTGATAGTACATACAGGCACTCCTCGAGTTACAAACGGAGGGTATTACTGTACAGCATGGGGTCCCAGGCTGTAGGCAAAGTGTACCGTGCAGCGTTTCAGTCGTTGTAATGGTACTGCGCTTGTACCGACGAGGGGTGTCCGCCTTTTTGGGTCTGGTTCGTAGTACTGTAGGTACATTACAGGAAGTTGGCTCTTGTTAGACATGCAGATGAGGGGTGCCCAGCTCTCCTTCTGGGTCACTGGGAGGTTTTTACTGTTGTCTGTATCCTCCTTAGGAAGATTGAATCTCACTTCCTGTCCTTGAGATAACAGGAAGTGAGAGGAAATCTACCCCTAGGAAGGGAAATTCACTCCTGTAAGAGTGATCCTGGGAAAAATGTGTTTCCACTGAAGCTTTATCACCAATCCTTGTTTCCAATTTTTAAAATCCAATTGTCACAGGGACAGAAAGTGATGGGAAATCTTCTGAACAGGGGCACACACCGCAAAACAAATTTTACAGGAGGTTAACTCCTCCTTATGTTGTCCAAAACTAAAGCAATGTTTTTGGTCTGGAGTTACACTTAAAAAAATGTACCAGTTCCAACTTGCATTCAACTTAAGAACAAACCTACAGTCCCTATCTTGTTCGTAACCCGGGGACTGCCTGTATTTTCTTTTTGCAGAGAGCAAGGAATGTGTTGTCCACAGATCAGAACTTCACGTTTAAAATTCTCCAAACTGCCTTGCCAAAATAAGAAGTGAAAGTTGATTGGTTGATTTGAACAACCGTTTTTGATGAATGACGATGCTGCTGAGCCTGACATGGTCACAGGAATTGTTTGTTATCTGTTAATGACTTTATTAGTCAAACATCCAGTTGTGTATGGTATAACCTCTCTATTACCTCACAAGCTTCTATGCACAATATCTATCTTAGTTATACACGTTGGTGTCGTCCCAATTCAAACATAAATAAAGCTTGTCAAATGCTGTTTGCACATGAATTGTTGCATGTGATCAACCGTGTTTCAGATGCATGCTAACGGCTGACTTTTTTTTTTCCCTACTCCTCTCAGTTTTCCAGATGTATTGTCTCCTGCCTGTACTGAAAGAATGCATCGTTATATGAAATCCAGATGCAGCGATGAGTACTTAGCGTTTGAAGCCAACTGAATATTACTTGTGGATGCAGACAGCCCTTTGCCATTTCAGCTATAAAGCGAGTCTTTCAGACACTGAAACCTAAAATGTTAAGAAGGATTTTAAACTGGCTCAGTGTGAAGATTGACACGTACAGGAACCGTTGAATTCGCCGTGCATTCCATTGGCCTGTCCTGTTTGGGATATGTCACTACTGGAATCCAGTTCTGTTTTTTGCCCCAAGGTTTATTCAGTTTTCAAAGCTGAAGCAACACAGTTCTATGTGAGAGCTCAAATTCCCGACCAATAGCATCAATGGCTCAGACCAGCTTGCTGAAGGGGAAACCCTTCTACTGCAGGGAATGGATCTTCCACAAGCTTCAGCACTGCCTGCAGGAAAAAACGAACTGCAGCACCATCGCAGCAAACAAATTGTCACTTGTGGCAAATTCTGGCAACAATGGTGGCAGCACTGGGAAAGGGTCAGCTTGGGGCTTGCTGTTTGTCGGTGGTCCAGGAAGTGGAAAGACAGCCCTTTGTACGGAGCTGGTTTGGCCAAGTTCACCTGCCGGTTTGCAGAGAGGTCTACACCGCCAAGTCTTGGCTTTTCACTTCTGCAGGGCCCAGGACTCTGACACATTGTGCGTGGGAAACTTTATCAGGACCCTTGTTGACCAGATTTGCCAAGGAGGACTGATGCCGGGATTTGAGGAGAAACTAAATGATCCCTCAGTTCAGAAACTGCTACAACCTGGAGAATGTGAACGAAATCCATCAGAGGCTTTTAAAAGGTACAGAATTGTTTGCAAGTTATTTAAATTCCCTCCCCGTTCTAATCTACTGCACACAGCTAGCATTTTTATTTCTAAAATTGTTTTCTCTGCTTATCATGTTGTTGTTTTTTTTCCATGTAAATTAATCCGTATTATTCATTCAGTTAACATTCCTATGACCTTTCCTTTTTAAAGAAGAACTCTGGGCAAAAATGTAATAAACCCTTGCAGTGGAACTACCCCTCTATTGTACGGGTTAACTGCTCATTCTTGCCTAGGGTTAAAAAATAAAATAAAAAATACTCACCCAATCTTTGGAGCCGGTAGTGCTCCCTTCAGTCTCTCTTCTCCTCCGCTGCAGCATTGGTATGTCCCTCTGCATCTTCATGTCCTATACACTGTTTTGGATGTGATGAGCATTCTTATACAGCTACAGACGAGGGGGAGAGACTTTTTAGGGATCGGCTAGGCAGCTTGGAGGACCGGGTGAGTATTTTTACATTTTGACCTTAGGCAAAAATGAACAGTTAACCCTTGCAGTGCGGGGGTAGCACCACTGCAAGAGTTAATTAAAGTTTCTGCCAATAGTTGTTCTTTAATTTTTCCATTTGAACTTCTGTGTTTAGGTTTTGGCTTTTACATTCACTTTTTGTTCTTTTTTTTTTTATATAGGGGTGTGGGGGATTAGAGACCCTTAGGATTTGTGGAGTGCCGTTGGAGAGATTTATCCGCAGTTCTTGCCCTTTTTTAACAACGTTTTCCAAGACAGGAAGTGAGGAGAACTCCCCCAACAGCAACACAAACTGAAATAGAAATGCTTTTCTTAAGCTGTGTAGGGGAAGATTAGTTCTCCTTTCAGAAATAAAAAGCTGCCAGTGTTTCCCTCGCTTCTGTTTGGTATACCATTGTCAGCAGGACAGGGACTGAGGTTAAATCTCTCTTTTAAACCTTGCCCACTCTATCCCAAAAAAAACAAACACATTTTTGGCTTGAAATACATATTAAGTCTGTAATTCAACAAAGGAACGGAATCTCTTTTATTATACCTGTGACGTGGTCGGTAAGAGCAATAAAACAGAACCTCCCCTGCCACAATTTACCATTGTAAATACTGAATTTGCTGCTTATTCCCAGGCCTGGCGTTTGACAGCGCAGTTCCATAATTACGTCTAAAGGGGCCAAAGTGCTCTGTCAGCACCTTAGCAATTATGTTTCATAGAGATGATTGATGCTGTCTGCGGAAACTGGGAACTCTTAATAGACAGCCCCATACATCTTTATGGAACCTAACTGTGCAGGGATTGGAAAAAAATATTGGTGAGACTCATGTAAACAAAGCCATAGCCTGGGAAAAGCTGCAGCTATCACATTAAAGAATCTCTGCATCCTAGGTCTGCTTTTATTGGCATTACTAGATTTAACAGCGTCTATGTTTTTATAACTCATTGACAGCCAGGCAGCTAGCATTTTTTTAGAGTAGGGTCAGCAGTGGCAGCCCACATATTTCTCATGACAGGTATACTTTAGGGGGGGCGTTCAGCAGTTTTTTAAAGAGTTGTAAAAGTTTGCTGGATATGATGATGCTCTTCATAATCACATTTACATGCTCATGTGCATGAAGCCAGATATAAAATACAAATATTTTGATTCTGGTAATTTTGGAGACAAGATTTCGGATCTGTGGAAAATACTTGTGGTTTTCCACTAAGCACATTGGTGGGCATGGTCATATAAATAGTAACTTATGAATCCAAGTGTGCTACACATTAAAGGTTGGTTTTTCCTGTTTCATAAAAGGATAGCACAAATCGGTATCTGCTTCTCATGAGCATTGGTTATTTTTATTCTGTTCCTACATTCATTCGTTTGAGTGGATGTGGAACCAGAAAGGAGAAATATAGGGTTACCCACAGCTGCTTAAGAAGCTATACATCCTTGCATTGACAGGAAGAGAACATTAAAGTAGTATCAAGCTCTTAAAGTTACATTAAAGTCACACTTTTTTTTGCCCCTTCCCAATCCTGCTGTAAGGACTTACCTTAAGGCCTGGTTCACACCTGTACGTTTTGTAGCGCGTTCAACGCTCTACGAACGCTCTACAAAACGCTCAAACATGAAAATCCCATTGTTTTCTATGGGTATGGTTCACACCTTGCCGTATTTCAGCCCGTCTGAACGCGCTACAAAACGGCCTACGCCTGAAAAGGTACATGAGCTTCTTTGCAGCGTTTGTCAGGCGTTTCCATTGGGATACTGCCAAGTAGCCCTCAGAAACGTGCGTTTTTTACCGCGAATCAAAACGCGCGTCATGAAACGCGCATATTCGATACGCTTAGGTGTGAACAGAGCCTTAATGATGCCTCTTAATCCGATCATCTTCTTCCTTACTGTCGTTTTCAGATATCCCTACAGTGCTGGTGCGGGTCTCCGATCCAGCGCTGACATCTCTTTCCTCTCCTCTGACATCCCACAGGGTCTGTGCGGGTGCACGCTCCATAGATTTACCTTGTATCTCTCCTCGTCTCCCGGCCGAACATCTGAAGTGCGCATGCGCCCGCCCCAAGACCCTTTGCGGCCGCCCGAGACTCTTCAGATGTTCAGACGGGAGCGCGCGGCGAAGACACAGGTAAGTTTACAACCATTTTAAAATGTGTTTTTTTTTTGTTTTTTTTTGTTTCATATCTATATATGCTCCATTTCTGCCATTATGACTGCTGCCCTCTGAGTTTAGTTGGTGAGCCTGTGTGCCCCAAAAACAATGTAAACTAATATGTAATCCAATTAGCTGGCAGCTCCCTGGTGCCTGCATCCCAGCTTTGACCCACTCTATAGCTCCTGTGGCCCCCTGAAACACAAGGCACCCTATTATGGCAATGACTATCTTCAATGGATGCTCACTTGAGTCCTCTCGCTTCTTTTTCAGAGCATTCGTATTAAGTGAGTCTGTACATTAAAGTTATGGAATAGTAGTTAGGTACAGGTGGCAGGAGGCATGGGTCAGAGCCAGTGACTAGGGAAACTAGTGGTATTATCTATAGCAGAATGCGCTGGTTTCATGGGTCCTGGAGGAAATCTGTGTTAAAGGGTCAGCATGATAGCCAGGCAACTAGCATATCTTTGTTTCTTTTGGGAAAAGTTCCCTTTAAAACAGCAGCCCTCAACTAGTAGCTAATGAGTCTTGTGTAGCATGTAGCCCAATGTTAACGGTTGATGTTTTTCGCTAGAACCTTTGTCATGTGCTCTAAACAGGCAACATGCAGCCAAGCATTTTGCCTCATTTATTTTGTTAAAAATGTTTAACATTAAAGGGACATTAAAGTCAAAGTTTTTTTTTCCCCCTTCCCAATCCTGCTGTAGGGACTTCCCTTAAATGATGTATCTTAATCCGATCTTCTTCTTGACTGTCCTTTTTAGCTGTCCCTCCAGCGCTGACTCCTCTGTCCTCCTCTTCTCTGATGTCCCACGGAGTCTGTGCGGGTGCACGCTGCTCCATATACTTACCTTGTGTCTCTCCTCGTCTCCGGGCCGAACATCTGAACTGCGCATGCGCCCGCCCCATGATCCTTTGTGACCACCCGAGACTTCAGATGTTCAGACGGGAGCGCGCGGCGAAGACAGTTTAAACCCTTTTTAAAAGCTTTTTTTTTTTCTTTTTTAATGTTTTTGCATATAGCTACTGCTTGCTATCAGTAGCTATATGCAAAAACACGCAAGGGTTTAATAACCCTTTAATAGTAAAACATACTTACATCTTTGAGCAAATGATTTACAGCAAAGGACGCAAGTAGGCTAATTCTGCATTTTTCTGATTTTAATGATAGTATTATGTATATTTTAGCAGCGGGATGTTATGCCTTGCCACATGTACTTTAGGTTCAGATTACCATGACAGTGTACAGTGCAGAAAATGTTGGAACCCCCCCTGAAATGCATACATGCGACTCAATTAGAGCTGCAGCTAACGATTATTTTCAAAATCGATTAGTTAGCCGATTATTAAGTTCGATTAATCGGAATGTATCTGCTTAGGTCTTCGGTTTTACATCCAGACGTTGCTGCAGACCCTTTTACCAGTAGCATTAGGACCCTGAAATATGCTTATTTAGATGCAGGAGCACCCACTGCAGGCTGCTTTCGCTTGGCAGTAATAAGAAGTAACTCACAGTTGCTAATCTAATTCAGACTTGATTTAGAGAATTGAATGTGATTGATGATGCAGAAAGCTGAGAAGAAGGCAGTTGTACAGCGCAGATTTCATGAACTACAGTCTAATGACCTTCTATAGAAGGCGCAGGGGATTAAAAACTCAGGTTAAAGTAAAACTGAACCTTCAGTTTGAATGCGCTAAATACATTCCAAATGGATCTAAACAATAGGTGTGTGTTTTTTTTTTTCTAGAAAGCCTGTCGATTGTCGGCAGCTACAGAGTGGAATACTTGCTCTTTGGGGAAGCAAAGGTCTGTCTTGGTATCCTATTGAGTCAGACCTATAGCTCCACAATTAGCAAAGCTCATGTTCCCTCCTGCCCTGACTGAGCAAGGGGTGTGTTGGACCTCTGCATCCACATAGACAGCAAGGGTCTCACTCTTCAGCATGTTGGCAGAGGACAGGAAGAAAAACTGAAAGAGTAAGACTTTGTACACCTTCGTTTTGATGCTCCTTGAAAGTATTTAGCTCATTTACACCAAATGCTCATTTGAGCTTTAAGTGATTTTTAGCACAAATGTTAAAGCCCCACTCTGGACTGCTGGTGTCCGCTTCTTCTGCCCACTCATGTGGTCGTTTTACCCACTCATATACTCGATTTGGCTAGGGGGGATATGAATAAGGTGAAATACCTTATTCCTTGCTCCTGCATTGCTTTCATGTAAGGAGGATGATTCACTTTGCTGCCCCTGACTAGTTGCAGCTTTCTGATGTCATCACTTAAAATGACGGACAGCAAAAGAGAGCGCCAGCTCCTGGGGTAGTGAGGACGAAGGTATGAAGGGGGTGGGGGGTGGTGTGTGGCACTGACT